CCCTCCAAAATGAATGGCTGGAAAGCAGCAGAAAGGCCAAGGAGCACTGAACTTGAAAAGCAGGTAGTACACCCTCTCCCCTTATTCAGGAATTTAATTCTGGGCGTCTATATGAACCTGTGTTCAGGTTATAGGACAACAAGAAAAAACTTAGAAAACTATTTCCCCCAAGGCTGAGAGAATCATGCCAAACTTATGAGTATTTTCCATACACTGTGCCCCACAAGATAAAATCTACCTGTTTAAATCCCAGAGCTGGCAGGGACAGAGGCCCATGGCACCGGGCCACACGCCACACCCCAGGCACGGATGCTGCTGCCAGGGGCCCCCACCATCCACTCATCCAGTTCCCCAACGGGTTTCTGAAACAGACAAGCGGGAACATCAGCCCAAACCCAGTAGTCTCCTCACCAGGCCCTCAATGGAGTTCTGGCATCACTGAGAATATGGTCATTTTCCAGGCGTGATTCCAGCATGCCCCTCCTGCCAAGGGCCTTGAGGTTTCTTCCCCGAGTCCTACCTGCCTGCCACTTTACCTGGTGCTGAGATGGGCACCCTGTCCCTGGGGCATCCAGGTTCACCTGTGGCCCCATCCAGCCTCCCAGGCCCCTCCTCCCTCAGTCAGTCCTCCATCCCCCACCAGTCACTCACAGCTGGCAGCCCCACTGACACATAACTAGCTACAGCCAACCGCTAAAAGACCCCAAAATGACCCCCACCCAACTCCCACACCCCTGGACGGGGCCGATACCCATGCCCAGGAATTCCTGCACAGACAGGAGAGATGCAGCACAGCAGGCTGCTTATGCACGTTGATCGGTCAACCTGTCTCCAGCCCTCACCATGGCGTCAAGTCACCACAGACTTCCTTTGAGCCTTGGCCACTTACACTCAGCAACCATGTCACCCATTCCTCAGAAAAGCCCCAAGCTCCCTCCACCTCAGCTCTCACAGAGGCACAAGAGACCTGCCCTTGGCTAACCCAAGTCACATCTCTGACATCAGGCTCCCAGTCGGACAAGACCCTCAACCCCTCTGGCTCCTCCTGGTGTGTGCTCATTCCTGCTCCAGCTCACACAGGCCTCCACCAGCCGACAGCCCACTCGAGCCGCAGTTCCTCAGGGATCCGCCCTAACTGCCCACATCTTCTGGGCCAGTCCCTGCTGCTACCACAGGCTGGTGTCCTGTACGTGCAGCTCTCGGTTTGCCCATCTCCGAGATGGGAGTGACGACAGCACCAGCCACATCATAAGGTGGCAGTGGAGAACTGAATGTGCCTGGACAGGTAGAGCCTGCGGAAGAGTTCAGCACGGTGGCTGCAGTCCACCCCCTCATCACCGGCACATCTGACGTCCTAGCCTGCCTGGCAAATTGCTTCTCGGCCCACCCATGCTCCACGGCCACCACCAGGGGCCAAGCCCTACCTCCTGCACTTCCCTCTACTCTCAGACCTCACTGCCCACAGAGACCTGCCCAGCAACCTGGGTCCTGGCCCTTGCCCTAAACCTCCCATGACAGCGCCTACAGAGCCCTCCATGGACAGCCCTCTGATCTGGGGGATCCCCCCCGCACCTGGTCTTCCTGCCTATGGGCTCTCACTCCACATGCCCACACTGGTAACTAGGGTCCCACCCCCACCCTCCCTTGAACTCAGAGCCTGTTTATGCAACCGTCTACTGTACCACCTCTAGGATCTCTGGGGCCATCCTGGCTCACCAGGGCCTCGCACACAGCAGGCGCTCAATAAATGAATACACATTCCTCTGTTTCTGAAAGTACAAGCAATGGCTACTCTCCACAGTTACCAGAGCCCTGAAATGGTTAACTACTTGCCAAAAATGTAGCTAACTCTTCCTGGATGGCTTATATCACTCAGAGAATCCAGCTCAACCGCCCCAGTGTTTCAGGCTCGCCAGACCCTGGGCCAGCTGTGAGCTTCAGGTGAATGCAGCATAGAGCGGCCAGACGATGGCCGGTACCGTGACTAGCTCCTCGTTTCCTTGTTTGTAATCTTCCATTTAAAAGTCACTGCGATATCCTGTATTTAACTAGGCACATACTTTTTAAAATTCTATCAACCCCCATTCGCTACCCCCAAAGTAAATGACAAAAGGTTACTCAATCGTACTATTTCGCTGACACATATGAATGACTCACCAACCAGTCATTTTTGCCACAAATGCTACTTTTCCCACCTCCGTTGGTCTGTAACTCACAGAACCAGGGAGGCAGCGGCCGTGCTTCCCAACCCGCACCTAGACGCTGAACATCCACACATGCACGCACACTTTCCAGGTGGATTAACCGTGTCAAAGTTGCCAAAAGATCCACATCTATAGTATTCTACACTTGAATTTCCCGTTGGGTGATTAACCACACAGCTTTGAAAAATGCAAACACAGCTTTCGAAAAGTTCCTAAGAGAAAATCCTCAGAGAATTGAAAATCTCATTCAAATAACCCCCAAATACATTTAAAACCAGCAGCTATTTGAATATCACCATATTCAGACTTCAGAAATTCTTCAAAAGTGTTTTGTTTTAGGGAGTGCTTCATAAAACCATCAGTGCTACCTACAACAGTCAAGATGACGGTTGGGGACTCCAGGCGAGGCTGCAGAACCCTTCCAGAACCCCTCTGCACACACGTGCACACGCACACACACCTCCTCCCGGGCACACTCAGGACCAGCCCCTCAGTGCTCCCTCCACCGCCAGGCTGAAGGCGTGGAAAGGCTCCCACAAAACCTAATCACTGGGGCCCTTTCCCTTTCCTGCAGCACCTCCAGGGCAGCAATAACCATCAAAGGCTTTAGGCACAGCTATAAATCCTGCCAAGCCAATTACACTCCATTGAAAACAGTACTGAGGCTGAATCAACAGGTTTCCCACATTGTTCTTTTTTTTGTTTTTGACACAGGGTCTCCCAGGCTGGCCTCAGACGCCTACCTCCTGCCTCCACCTTCTGAGTGCTGGGATCAGAAGCATGGCAGCCACGCCAGCTCCATATATCCCTTACTAAAACCTAAACTGCCTCCAGGTAACTCAAGGCCCATCTTTGGGTCTGGTTGTGTTTCTGCCCAGCGCCTACAGCTTGGACCTGTGAGTCTACAGTGAGTAGTCTTTGGAGAAGTCACTAGTAAAGACTTGAACTGTCAGAGAGTTGCACCCTCCCAGCCTGAGTAGCTCACACAGGCCTTTGATCCGGCACCGGAAAGATTCAGTTCAGCAACTAATTCCTTAAAATTTTAAGTGAGAGAAGAGAGTGTGAAAGGCGGGGAGAGGATCATTTCATTCCCCTCACAGCGCCCCTGCTCACTGCTGTGCAGCCCTGAGAGAGCTACTTAACACCTCTGAGCCTCACTCACTTCCTTCATCTGGAAACCTCTAGTTGCTTTAGAAAGTTGCTTGTAGTCAGAGACCCCAGCCATAGGCAGTCTTACCATATGGGGGGCTGATGCAGGACGTCCAGAGTTACAAAGCGTGTGTCAGCAAAGTATCCACCACCGCTAAGCAGCATGGAGGTCCCCCACCCCCAACCCGCCCACAGCGCAGTCCAAGAGAAATAGCCCTCAGTGACCTGCTATCTGCTCACAGAGCCCACACTGTAGACTCTGCAGATGCTCCCATCCCTAGTGTGGACTTTATCCCACCAATGCAGTCACCCCCAAAATCTAAACCCTACTATTTTGCCAATTTATTTCCAGACAGGCCAAAAGTTCTGCTCTGCTTTTCTAGCAGATAAGGAGGTATGGCGGAAAATATTCCTAGGAGTCCTCATAACAATTTGTCCCTAGGAGCCTTTTCCATGTTCTCTATACACTTTCACAATTTCACACAACCTAAAACATTCACCAACAAGTGGAATGCAGCCAGAGCCCATGCCTCTGCCCGGCCTCATAGCAGAAGCCCAAGCCCCAGACCCTGCAAGGAGACCTGGAAGGAAAATGGCTCCCCAGCCCTCAGTGTGTAAAATTCACAGCTGAGCAAACAAGACCAGTGGGAAAACTGGCTGCCAATCTCAGCAACATTGTATCCTAATAACTTACTGTTTAAACAACTCATCTGCAGCTCTGGACTGAAGATGCCCACAGACTGAACCCTTCTGGACAGTTTTTTGGTCACCTGCCTGCACCAGTCCCATGACACTCCGGGATGGACATGCAGACAGGACCCCTCTTCAGAGTCACCGGGGCTTCCTTCCTTGTCCCCCACCCCCCCTACCCCATCCTGTCTCCTCTGTGTCTACCACTTTCCCCCACCCTCTACTGTTCTCTGCGCCCCCACCCCCACCCCCGCACTGCAGGTCCTGGCATGCAGTGATGCACAGGGCCCACTCTTTGCTGCCAAGCCTTTGGTGGCAGAGCGAACACTTCCTCTCCCTTCTGCTCTCCCACCCCAGCCCAGAGCAGGCACACTGATTTCTCACACTGGCTCCACCACTAAGCTGGGCGGCCTCTGAACAAACTCCCAAATTATAAGTGTCCAGGAGCAGGGGCTGAGATCAAAAGGGCTGTGCTTTTCAAAGAGCCACTCTAGAGACAGGCACACACCAGCCGATTGTTGTTATTATCAGGAGGAGACAGAAAAGCAAGACCAAGAAACACCAGCCATATTACAGGGTGACGCAATTTCCAACGGTCCCACCCAGAAACTAATTGGCACATAGGAGTGGGCCATGACCTTTGATCCACGCATGCAGCAGGTTGACTAAAGAACATCACCAAGCAAATCAGACGACCCACATAACCCTGAGGCCAGGTTTCAACAGCACAACTCTGGAGAAGCCCTGCACTTGAACTTGGAGAAGCCCAGGCCTGCTCCCTGCAAAACTGCTGAGGGCAGCAACATGGTGCCTCTCCCCTTGCTGGGCCTGGGTGGGGAGCCTCCAGCACAAAACCAGAACAGCAAATACCCAAAGAGTTGGCCAGGCCCGGCCCGAATGTGCCCCAGCCTGCCAGGAGGGGCCTTGGCAGGGCCCACCCCCACCCAGGCTACTCACCGGACACAGACACCTCCATGAGCGCCTCCAGCGGCCGGTTGTTGTCCAGGTCCCGACTGAGCTGCAGTTCGCCGGTGGCGGAGTCCAGCAGCAACAGCTGCAGCTCGTTGCCCTGCAGGAAGGTGTAGTTGAGGCTGTCCGACAGGTCAGGGTCATGGGCCGGGATGCGGCCAATCACGCCGCCGGGGAAGCTGTTGGACTTGTTAGTAACGTAGTTGTTGAAGAGGATCTGGAAGTCCGGCAGCTCCGGTGGGTTGTCGTTCTGGTCCAAGAGGCGGATGTGCACCGTGGCCCTACTCACCAGAGGGGCGGATGTGGCCTGCACCACCAGCACGTAGTCCCTCCGCACCTCGAAGTCCAGCTCAGCCAGGGCGCGCAGATCCCCACTCAACAGATCGAGCTGGAAGACCTCGGGCACATTGCCCTCTACAATCTGATACATGATCTGAGCATTGGGACCTTCATCGGGGTCATTGGCCTGAATCCTGGCCACCACCGACCCCACTGGGCTGTTCTCCTCTACAAACAGCTCCAGCTCGTCTCTCTCAAACACAGGGGGGTTGTCATTAATGTCCAAGACGGTCACCTGGATTTCCACGGTGGCACTAAGGGGAGCTGGGCTACCCCGATCCACAGCCAGAGCCCGTAGGTTGTACACTGCCACATTCTCTCGGTCCAGCCGACGCTGGGTGCGGATCACACCAGACGTAGGCTCAATGTAAAAGTCCCCATCACCGTCATCCCCGCCCTGGAAGGTATACAGAAGGCGGCCATTAGGGCCCGAGTCCCGGTCAGTCGCGGAGACCTGGAGGACGCTGGTGGATGGGGGAGCATCCTCAAAGACAGAACCCTGGTAGAAATCCCGCAGGAACCTGGGCACATTGTCATTGGCATCCAGGATGAGGATCTCCAAAGAGGTAGTGTCTGACTTCTGAGGGATGCCGTTGTCCTGAGCCGTGATGGCCAGTGTGTAGGCAGCCTGGTCCTCATAGTCCAGCTCTGTCACGGTGTAGATGGTGCCGGTGTCCGGATCAATACGGAACTGCGGCACCGGGTCCTCCAGCACATATGTGATACGGGCATTCTCACCCGTGTCCTCATCAGTGGCACTCATGGTGGCAATGGAGGTGCCCACAGGCCGGTCTTCGCTGACACTGACCGTGTAGTGAGAGCTCTGGAAGACCGGCCTGTGGGTATTGGCGTCGGTGACATTAATGAAGACCTGCGCGGTGTGCGAACGCGTGCCATCCGACGCAGTCACAGCCAGCACATACTGCCGCTCCTGCTTGTAGTCCAGTGGCAGCGCCAGGGTGATGAGGCCCCCGCCGCTCTGGCTGCTGAGCGCAAAGCGGTTCCGGGTATTGCCGCCCGTGAGCTGGTAGGTGATCACGCTGTTGGCATCGCGATCGCGGGCACGCAGCGTCAGCACGCTGCTCCCCACAGCTGCATCCTCGTTCAAACGAAGCTCATACACCGGCTGCGTGAACACCGGGTCATTGTCATTTACATCCAGCACAGTAATGGACACGCTGGCTGAGGAGCTCATGGGTGGTGAGCCATGGTCCACCGCCTCCACCCCAAAGCTATAGTGCTCCACTTCCTCGCGGTCCAGCTCTGCACACACAGTAATCCAACCCGAGCTGTTGTGGATCTGGAAGGGGAAGTCCCGAGCAGAGGCGGGACCCTCAGGACCAGTGCCACCGACCCCTAAACCAGCTGAGGTTGTGTCTACCAAGCGATAGCGCAGCCGAGCATTCTCACCTGCGTCTGCATCTACCGCCTGAATGTGCAGCACAGAGTGGCCCAGGGGTACGTTCTCCAGCACGGCGGCCTGGAAGGGGCTGCTCACGAAGATGGGCGCGTTGTCATTCACATCCAGCACCTGAACGGACACCAGCCCCGAGGAATTAATGAGCGGAGGCCGGCCCCCATCCTGCGCCTTGATGCGCAAGGTGTACTCCCGGATGGCCTCGAAGTCCAGCGGGTTGATCACATCCAGGCTCCCACTCAGGGAATGAAGGTAGAACTGCCCCTTGAGGTTGCCGCTGACGATGCTGTAGTGTATGGCCGCATTCTGCCCCTGGTCCCGGTCAGTGGCCTGCACCCGAAGCACAGCAGTGTTGACAGCCACATCTTCGGGCACCTGGACTACATAGCGCTTCTCACTAAACTGAGGGTAGTTATCGTTCTCATCCTCCACCACGATGTGCACGATGGCCGTGGCACTGAGGGGGCCTGGGTTGCGGCCTTGGTCGTTGGCTTCCACCAGCAGCTGGTACTCAGTCGCCTCTTCCCTGTCCACCACTGCCCTTGTGCGCACCACGCCTGAGCGCGCATCAATCTCAAAGACGCCGCCGGCACCCTCCAGCAGGCGGTAACGCATATTGGCATTGGAGGGCGCGTCGCCGTCGGTGGCACGGATGGTCAGCACCTCATAACCCACCTCGAGGTTTTCGCGCACACGCTCACGATACTCGGACTGCTCGAAGACAGGGCTGTGATCATTGGTGTCGCTGACTGTCACCGTGAGGTAGGTGGCCGCCGTACGCCGTGGTGAGCCGTGGTCCACAGCGCTAACTTTAAGAACATGAGTGTCCTTGGTCTCGCGGTCCAGTGCGCGGGCCGTGCTCACGGCGCCCGTGGCGGAGTCGATGAGGAAGTAGCCATTGGAGCGCTCGTCGAACAGCGCCTCCATCTGGTAACTCAGGCGCCCCGCCTCGCCCTCGTCGGGATCGTGCGCTCGCAGTTCGATGACCGCGGTGCCCGCCGGCTCGTTCTCAGGCACCGACACCTGGTAGCTGGGCAGCGGGAACTGCGGGCTGGTGCTGCCGCCCGCGCCCCGCCGCGCCCGCCGTGCCGCCCCCGCCCTAGCCTGAGGTAGACCCAGCGACGATGGTGAAGGCGACGGTGACGCGGAGGGCGTCCCGGTGGCGGTCTCCAAAGCCAGCTCCACCCAGACGGCGCCGGCCGCGTGCCTCAGGGCGCACAGCAGGCGCAGGCGGGCCGAACCGCCCGGCGGCAAGCAGATGGGTCGGCGCGGGCAACGCGGCCCGGGGAGAGGCAGGCAGCTGCAGGCAGGGAAGGTGGTGAGGGCCGCGAGCACCGAGGGCAGCGAAGCCGCGCCACCGCCAGGGGTCGGATAGCAGAGCGACCCGCGGAGCTCAGCCACTGAGAGCACGGCCCGCGCGCGCAACTCCGCTCCGGGGGCTGATAGACGCCGCAGCCGGACCCCGCAGCCGAGGCCGTGGGCGCGCGCCTGCAGTGCCACATTCAGCGCCGCCGGGGCACTGCGGGCTGCCAGGAGGACCTGCAGAGGCAGCAGCCGCCCCCGTAGGCGCACGCAGTCCCGGGACCCCTCGTCCAGTCCGCGCCGCCGTCCCGCCAGCAGTCCAACCCGGGTCACGTCCAGTAGCTCTCGCAGTGCCGGGGACCTGCGCTCGGTGTCCAACATGTAGGTCCAGCCGGGCCCGAGGGCGAAGGCGCGGACACCGCCGGGCACGCGCAGCTCCCAGGCGGCCGCTCGAAGCCCCAGCGCCGGTAGGGCGGCGGCGGCGGCCAGGAACACCAGCGCGGGCAGCACGGGCGGCGGCGACGGCGCCATGGCCCGGAGCCGGAGCCCGAGCCCGGAGCCCGAGCACAATCCATGCACCCGGCGCGCCTCCGCATCCACCCGGCGCGGCCGGGAGAAGGCTCCCGCGCGCCCGGCGCCTGGCCCTCGGGGTGGCCCGCGCCCTGCCTCCCCGGGGGCCCTGGCGGGGACACAGGGGACCGCGCGCCCGGCCTCCCCCGCAGTTTCCACTTCGAGAGCACTTTGCGAAAGTTTGCTAAGTTGGTTTCAAGATGGCTCCTCCGCGCGTCCCGGGAGGGCGCCGCGCATCAACCTGCGGTTGCTGCGGCTCCAGGCGGCTCCAGGTGGCCCCGGCGCGAGCCCGGCCGGGCGGGCGTGGGAAGCGGGGCGGGCCCAGGGTGGGGCGGGGGCTGCGTCCCGGAGCGGTCTGAGCCCCGCAGCGCCGCGCAGACCCTGGCGGTTGCCTGCTGCCTGGGCGGTGCGCTCGACCAGCGCCCCCTCCGCCCGCGCTCTCCCCGCCCCCGGCCCAGCCCAGCCCCGCCCCCGGCCCAGCAGCTTATTGTTCGGCCCCTGGGGGAGCCGGCCGGGAGGTGCGCGCCGGGATGATCGCTATGGAGACGCGGGGGCGCGGCCCGGGCTGGGGCTGGGCCGGGACCTACTCCCCTGCGGCCGACCCACCCGGCCTCCCCGGGGGGCGGGGCCCTGGGAGCTGCGCGCGGAAAGGCTGCGCTGGGCCCCCGCCTCCGCTACCAGTGCGGCGGTGGCTCCGCCCGTCCAGCGAGAAGCTGTCGAAAGCCTCGCACCCCACCTGGCCAGACTAATCCGCGGAGACCACCGCTCTCGACGCTGCTCGTGTTGGACCCAGGGGTGCGGGACAGGGATAGAGGTACCCGGGCGCCCATAGAGTCGCAGCCACGGGGGCGGCGACAGTTACACATTTACGAGGCGCACGGAGGCTATAGTGCTGGACCCGGACACACAGTGGAAAACCAATGAGCAGCTCAATGGATTCAGGTCCGCTTTGTTTAAAGTGCAACTTTTAAACGAAAAGAAAAATAACCTGGGTTGACATTTGGGATTTGGAGAGGACGTGGAAGTGAGCTCGTTCCCCGCGCGTGCTGCCGGGCCTGAGCATTCCAGGAGGCGGCGTCCCATTCCCAAGCCACTGGCTACAGCCCAAGTGCGAGCCCTGGCGACCACGGGGGCGGGGAGCGGGTACCACTTGGTGGAGGTGCGGAAGAATTGTGCGACAGCCCCTAGCAATCGGTGCCTGGAGAGAACTGCGGGAGAGAGGGTAGGCCTTAGAACTTATGGGACTGTGACACACACACACACTCACACCTGCGGGGAAGTGGAGGGCTTCACTCCTAAGGAGCACAACCTGGAGCTAGCTCTTTAAGATTTTGACACCCCCCGCCCCCACCAGGAGGCGAGGCTTTGTGACATTCCCCAAGCCTCCTGCATGCCACCAAACCCACTGCTGCCCCTTAGGCCTCCAGCAGGCTCTCTTGAAACCAGCTGAAGCGGTGGGGGTGGACGGGAGCCACTACCAGAACCAAGCTTTTGACCAGAGAGGGAGGGTCTAGCCCAACAGGGCAGTGCCTAGCTGAGCCCAGAAAGTAGGGTCGCAAAAACAGGTGTGGGGGCTTTAGAAACATGGCAGAGGTTCTCCTGTGGTATTGCATATAACATGTGCTCCACCAACTTTGCTCAAAGTTGCTGAAAACGATGTCTTTTTCTTTCCATTGGTGACAGTTCTAAGACATTATATTGATCTAAAGTGTCGGGTTGCTTTGGAAACTTGTAATTCTGGGAGTTTCTGCTGGCAAGTCCTGTTGAGAAATGTGTGTGAGGAGGGAGAAGGAGGAAAGTCCATTCCCTAAATGTGACTGGGCCAGGACCCCCGACTGCTCTTGGACTTGGATTTCACTGGAGATGATGTGAGAGTAAACGTTCAGGATCCAGAAGGCAGGGAGGATACCTGAGCCTGGAGCCCCAGAGAGGACGGCTCTGGACTGGGCTACACAGCGATCTGGGAAGGAGGGAACGTGGAGAATCCTACACTGCATATTTTGCCATAGGGCTTTAAATAGGGTTGGGTTTAAATAAACAAAATTCAAATACAGCAAATGGGTTCAGTTCGGGTGTGGGCATGCTTTCCGGGAACAAGACACCTACAGGCTGCAAGGTAACCACAGGGACTGCCTGGCCACCATTTCTAAATCCCAGGGACCAGACAGGAGTGCATGTTCAAATGTTGCTAATAGGATGTCTACAGAGAGCCAAGTGACAAGAGGATTCCACGCACAGCTCATGAGCAAGTGAAAGCCGGCCACGCAGTCTAGTATGGGGGTGCTGGTGGAGTGGCTCAGTGGTAGAGCACCTGCTGAGCAAAAGTGAGGTCCTGAGTTCCAACCCCAGCACTGCCAAAAAGAAAGGGAAGGAAGGGAGGGAGGAAGGAAGGGAAGAGAAGGGAGGTGTGCTCAGAGAAGGAAAGGGACACACCGAGGGCTCCATGAATGTAGTATGCAGGGTAGCCTCATCCAGCACCACCTGAGGGCTGTCCTCCTAGTTATGGCACCCATAGGCCACTGTCCTGCCCAAATGTTCTTCACACAGGAATCACTCCCTTCCCCTCATACCCACCCACTCGCTGACTCTTAGGGCTCCTCCTAGGAGGCCACATCAGGGTGAGGAGGGGACTCAAAGCAGCCCAGGTCATTCTTGCACCAGGCGCCCTGAGAGTAATGGCCAGGTGATGTTTGATGTGTTGGCTTGGAATTGCCGCTGCTGCCACTCCCAGCGGTTCAGGGGCTATAACTGATGTTTCCATTTTTCAAGCACCCTGAGGTGTTTCACGTGGACTTGAGTATTTCCACAAATAGAAGCAGAATTTTTTTTTTAAGTCTGAAGCTATGAATTTGTACTATGGGGTATGTGCTCCAAATGGTTTTTGCCAGGGTCTTGAACTGGGACCTACAGGAATTCTGGAAGAAATCTATTCCTTACATAGTACATTCCTGGACTGGGTTTTATGTTTATTTATTTTTGTGGTACTGGGGCTTGAACTCAGGGCCTTGAGCCACTCCACCAGCCCTTTTCGTGTTTAAGTATTTTCAAGATAGGGTCTCATGAAACTATTTGCCTGGACTGGCTTTGAACTGCGAGCCTCCTGATCTCTGCCTCCAGAGTTGCTAGGATTACAGGTGTGAGTCACCAGTGCCCAGCCTGGACTGGGTTTTAAATAGCAAGAAGCAGGGAGAAACCACCACCCTGGCCGAGTGAGTCCAGGTGTGGTGCAAGTCTGCTTCCTTGGAATTCACAGGAAGATTTTCTCCATCCATCCCCTTTCCCAAGTCCCCCACGTCTGGTGGGGGTTCCTTAGACTCATGGAAAATCCCAGTTCCAACATGGAACAAAAACAGAGCCTTGAATTAATTATGATGCTAATAGAGGCGAGAGGATGAAGGGAATCAATCATTTCTTCTGCACTAGCGCTTCCCTGAAAGACCAAGATAAAGTTATGACAAAAAAGGGAAAATATTTCCCTGCGAGGAAGGTGCCAGAACCCATCCCGATACAAAGATGGTGACTTCTGCATTTGCACCTAGTGTAGCTACTCTGGGACCCTGGGCAAAGGCCCCTTTCCAGACTCTGGCTCCCTCAGGTGCCCCCTGAGGTGCCAGCTGCTGAACCACCTGCTGCTGACTCCTGGGGAGACCTTAGCTCTAGGAAGGCTCTGGAGGGCATCAGGTGGCAGGCGTGCAGGGGACTAGAACCTCATTCTCCAGGCTGTTTGCAAATGGGGTGAATGCAAAGTGAGGTCTCTGGCCTCAAGTCCAGAGCTGTCCTTGTGTCTCTCTGGACAGTTTGGACATGGAGGGGAGACATGTGCCACACCACAGACCCCCAGCACCCACCTTGCCCCCGCCCTTGCCTCTCACCTTGCCCAGCTCCTACCTGCAGTTGGGGCAGGCTCTCCGGGCCTATCTCAGGGCTGCACTGGCCCCTAGTGGTGGTGACAGTCTCTACCTCTGCCAGAACATCCAGTGTACTGCCTCCTGTCCTATGCAAGTGCCCACCCACCCCGGCTGGGTGCAGATGGCAGAAACAGCAAGCCCCCTGGCCACCCGGAGTGCACACACCGAGGCATGCAGCCCTGAGCCCCAGCAGTGCTGGCCCTGTGGCCCCCTGATCTCACTACCCTGCTCCTGGGATTCCTGAGCCCCTCGGTGGCTGCAGGGCATTGCAAACTGGCAGCAAACTGAGGCGGGTACACAGCACCGGGGTCACTTGCTGACCAGCAGCAAGAAAGGAGAGTGAAGGCCTGGTCCCAGGCATCAGCACCTGGGGGGACAGCTGCTGCATTTGGGTGGCTGCGCTGAGGAAGGCCACAAAAGGGAGGGACGGAGCCAAGTGGGGATGAACCGGGTGATGCAGCAAGGGAAATGCACGCAAAAGAGGGTCCACACCTCCAGAGTTCAGGGTGCCAAATATCGTTTCTGTTATTGTGATTTCCTGGCCCCTACCTGACACACACTGTCATGAAGCCAACACGGGGAGGCATTCTACCGTCTTTTTTCCCCCAAAATGGATTTATTGTTTGGAAATTTGTCAAAACTGGTTCAAATATTTATTTTTTCCTTTATTGCAGTGCCAGGTGGGGGTACATTGTAGCATTTACAGAGGTTCTCACAATATATCAAATACACCATACTTGAATTCACCCCCTGCACTGGCTCTCCTTTATCCTCTCTGTTTTGATAATTTTCTCCTTTGCATGCCTCCCTCCTGTTCTTGTAACAAAATAAACACCTAGCATAACCATAAAATTTACCCTTCATAAAGTGTGCAATATGTTTTTTAGTATATTCACAAAGTTGTACACCCATCACCATTTAATTCCAGATAGTTTTATCACCCCAAAAAGAAACCCCAATTCATGTCCCATCCTGACCTCCCTTAGGCCCCATGAGCCCCTGACCCACTTCCTTTCTCTCTGGATTTGCCCATTCTGGATGCATCATAGTGCC